TTTTTCCTTCCCTCAGTAAGTCCAGTATTTGCAAACCGTCCAAGTGGCACGCTTCACAATCCAGACAGCCTGTATTGTAGATAGGAGTTGGTTGATGAACCGGGCCACCTTCCACAATAGGATACCCCTTTCCCCACAGCTCATGAATGTATTGTAGGATGCAGTAGTCAATTACGCCGAGAGAGGTTCATAGAGGGTTTGTGTATGCTGGGCCTACCGGAAGTGTATTACTGAAATCCTACCCAACGATAATCGACGCAAATAAAAAAAGACCACCTCGCGGCCGCCATTCTCAATAGGAGTTTGTGTATACGATATGGTATAACGATGCTTTCAACGACGGAGAAAAAGCCGAAAGTGCTAGACTTGCATGGGTGAATACCGGTAGGGTGCTCCGCGTGATATTGTCTTCTGCAGTGCAATCTAATCCCTAGCTCTACCAGCCATTGAGGAGGAGCAGGCGGATCATGTACTCGTACAAGTAATTGCTAAGAAATACCAGGAATTTTCCAATAGAAAGGTAGAGAGTGATTACCGCATCGGGTTTCACCAATTTTTCAAGGTGGCTAGTTCCCTATCCAAGGCCTCCGCCTTTAGCCAAGCATTGAGAACACAACCGGCACCGGCATCATCTTTTTTTGTTCGAGGTCACAAGGCAAAAAAAAAAAAGTGTAACTTATTATAGTTTTCATTTTAGTTGTTGTTCGTGACTCGTATATTCTTGATCTCCCTCACTTTCTATTGGTTTCCCACCCTACAAAGCCAATTGGTGCTCAGGCTTTTTTCCTGCCCCCTTACCCGAGGCCTCAGTTTAGGCCTACAAGCATACAAAGGTGGATCATGAATTCATGGTACAGAGCAGGGGTAGGTATCCTCCGTTGTGAAGTCAAATTTGGAACGCTTGGGAAAGTATGTGTTCCAACCTGGGGTCTTGTACTATGGCACAACGGGCACTGGAATGAGTGATGAGAAAGGAGAAAGGAAAATTTTGATAACCAGTAATGGTTAGCTATGATCATGATGTTTGAATTTTTAATTCTTGCTCTGTCGGGTTCAGTTGCGTTGTTTTACGGGAAGTTATGGTACACAGCTCACAAGCGCTGTGCCATTGCCCTCTAATATTTAATCCCTATCGCGTACCATGAATTCATGATCTATCCTTGTACAGTAGTTGTGCGGAAGCCGGAAAGTCGATACGATATGATAGGAGATTTTTGGACATGTTGTCTTGGGGTCTAGGTGCACAGGTAGTCAAACCCCGAGCGCCCTGTGTGATTTTCAAGCCAGTAAACACTGAAAACAAAAAGAGCCGAAGTTGCGACAACCAAATTGAGAATCACGAGAAAAAGTTAAAATGGAGCCTCGTTATCGTGGGGGGTCCGCTCCGAAGGATCTTCCCGGTTAAGCGAATGATTCGGGGCGATCACGCTTTGGTTCAAATAGTTTATGATCCAGAGAATCCCCTAGGAAATACCGAGGGTTGACATGAGAAGCCTCGAGGCCGGCGATTCATTTAGGTTTCTCTAGCCGCTCAAGCCCGCGGGCGATGGCGTGCCATGGGAGGAACTTCAAATAGATCGAAGACACCACCAGGGGGGCTAATTCGATTTCGTTGTTGTCCCTCTATCTGGTTTGAAACATTATGTGTCAATGAGCGACTACACACACAGTACTATAAGAATATAACAAGTTACAATGCGTGCGGGGTGATCCCAGGCGGTTGAGAGGCAATGGGCGCAAAAAAATGAGAATCGCTTCGCCCAAAAAAAAGGCTGTGAAGATAGTGTCTAAGAGTAGCTGAGTCAATAGGGTACTCGAGTAGTGGGAGAGAATCCTTGAAAGAGAATACTCTTTGCTCCCCAACCGCCATGTAAGTTACTCGAGAAGTCTGAGTTTCGGCCGCAATGCGACTGATCACCTCTCTGGGTGGCTACCATAGGTAGGTTGTAAGCAAGCAAGGGGACGGAGAAAGAAGAATTTTGCATCCCAATCGGTTTCTTGGAATGTAAGTGCGGCTGTCCAGTATCCAACCATCCGATAATCACGTTGTAATTGGCACCAGAGTTCCCGTAGTCGATAGCAACGCCCACCAACATAAACATTAGGAACAAATAGCCTCTTTTATAGCAATTAGGCAATTACCCTGATTTTGAACTTGCCACACAACTCTCATTCATAGGCTGGAACCAGCCAGCGGCCGGTGTACTCGAGCAGTGGAAGTCGGTGAATCGACTTCCGGCAAGGGATTCACACAGGTCTACTTGCTGAGGCGAATATCGGTATGGTAATTGATTTTCAGGCAAATACAGTCTGACCTACAGAATCACTAGTGCGCCACTAACTACCACACCAGTATGGGAGCTCCATATTTTTAGACATTTCATAATTCTCCATGACTATCGTGTGATGAGGTACTGTACTAGGGGTAAACCCCGAACTAGTATCGTGATACGACGTAGTGTATCTCACAGGGGGCCAATAGAATAGCACATCGGAATTCATAAGGGCACATGTTACTTCCCGTTACTTGGCCTCTCGATAACTCGAGGTTGGAAACCCGAATGACAAATAGATCTCCGGTGTTGACGATCTCCCGGGTTTTCAGAATTGCAGTCGACCATTCCTTTTCCCTCTCCTTTCTTTTTTTTTCTTTCAGTTTCTCCCGGCTACCATGTCTAAGTTGCCTTTGGCCAAGAATTTGAAATTTAAGCTTCCGATAGGGTTCAATGCTAACTTCATGTCTTTGCCACAAGAGTCCAGCTTACGGGGGTCTATCAACGAGGTCACGGGGGCCCTGAAAGACTGTACCAGCCAGATCCTACGGCCACGAGCCGTGAAGCAATGGGGAGAAAAGCAAGGGTATCTCATTTAGGGAAAAGGGTGTCGGTACATCCCCTCCGCCTTTAATTGGTTAGATATGTCGATCACTAAAGGCGCTAACCGAAAAAGTGTACAGTTTCCACCGGAGCCTGAACTCTAACATCAATTCTACAACGAGAGTCTGATGGAGCGCCGGCGATTGATATTGCGCACTCGTGGTGTGTCCATATTATATCGATTCGCTACCATAGTTCGCTTCCCGCCATCACCTAGTCACCGCACCCGTAGCCCTGGATTTCCCCTGGTCAGAGAAAAAAGAAATCACAATAATGCATTACCCACTTCTATCCCGTCGTGGGGTCGACAAAATTGGAATCCGGTAAACCAAGATCCCGGCATCTCACCAGGTATTGCGAGCGCCTTGCGCTCATATGCCTCACCCCAGCATTCTAGCCTAATTCTGCGGTTCTGGCTCTTCGGATTGCACCCCCGTACTGTGGGATTCTAGGTGTTTGTGGTGCTATGTGCTCCCGCAAGTTATGCCCGGCTCAATTCTTGACATAGACAAGGTGCTACGGCTACCAGAAGAGGTTCTCGTATGCGGAATCGAGTGCCCCTAGTATCTACGCGTGGATATATGCAACCCAGCGTCCTCTCTCCGTTTAATTGGAGCCCGAAGAAGCTAGCTCGTTGGAGACCCAATTGACATCGGTTCGTTGGTTGAGCATCAAAACTTGAGGAAGAACGCCCTAGCCATGAGATGCGCATTGCTCCCAGTCAATACAACTTGTGCCAGTGGGGGCAAGTGTGGTTCACTTTGCCTTGTAGGTGATCTCAATCAATTGTGTGGCAATACTCAAGCACCCCCTCTCCATAGTCTGGGGATCAATATGTACGTTGCCAGAGCGGTTTCCGGGAATAGGGGACACGATCTCGTGCGACAACGCGCTATATTTCGAAGTCGAAATGCTTTCTTTTTGCGGCTAGAGAAACCCCCCTATCTGCGGGAAGAGGCGATTTATACTTCCATGCCTTATCGCCCTTACTGTTAATAAAGCAAGGCTAGCAAACCGCGAGACTCAGATGGAGAGTTGATATATGCTTAGCAAAATGTGATAGGAGACTGAAGCGATATTCGAGTGAGCCCGCAGGAGCTTCGGGTGGCGTAGTATCTTCACTTGGTGAAAGGGGGGCGGTATCCCCGGATATGCTAAACGGAATGCTAGTCTATCCACCTACTCGCCCATCCCCGCAGGTTGGCACAACCCCTCGTAGCCCAAGTTTAGAATGCACCTGAGATACGATGTTCCCGAATCAAAATACCCGGATACTGACCAAAAGAGATGGCCTGTGAAAAAAGGAGAGGGAAGAGATAAAGGGGGGGAAGGGGGGGAGAACAAAGAGGGAAGGAAAATCAAAACCTGTAAAGAAAACGATATGGACTGGATCCTGCGGCATTGATTCATTCTTGGGATCGGGGAACATTCCTGAATTCCAAAAGGAAACAGTAATGTATTTCTATCTGATCTAATCTAAGACAAAGTCTCGCTTATCTTTCGTCTTTACGATGGGTATCTAGATCTAGAGGGATTGTTGGGTCGATCTCTAAGCATATACCATATCGTATCTCCCCGACATACATCCCTGCGTTTGCGGGGAAGAGAGGAATGATAAATGCGTAGCAGAGCCTTTAGCGTAACTTATTCGACGAAAGGCAAGCTATGGAGTGAGATGTTGTTTTTATGATTAGCAGAGCCTTATTGTGTTCGGAAGGATAAATCTTCAACATATCTGGCCCATGCACGACTCAGCATTCGTTACTTTTTTTTTCGTTTGGGGGGGGGGGGGGGTGTAGGGATTCAGGGGCAAACTATGGAGGCCAGAGCTGGGAGGGATACCCTACCTATTGACCAAGTGTAGAAATGATTTGCCTTATTTTACCATGTTTTTGGCCCGCTGCCGAATATTGGTAGCAAAATTGTTTTGGTGGGATAGATAGATGTCGATATCAAAGTTAACTTAAATACCGGATGGGAGCTTTCATCTGGTTCCCGCAATGCCCATTCGGCTCAATATCTCGGATTCCAGCATTTTTATTATTTTACCACTCAAGATATACTTGCGTCTATCCTGAGTGTTCCTTTCAGTCTCTCCCCCTTGAGGTTGTACCCCCTTCACTTTCATGTTATCGGTATAAATATCGCAGCCAACTTTTCTCAAAAGATGCCAACACCAAGACAGCGAGCAATGGCAGCTTCTTCTGAGACTCGTGCTCTTCTACCAGCTATACCCGCGAGATCAGGCACTGATCCTACTTCGTATTTCTGGCGATTCACTACCCGTCTGCCCCCACTCCCCGCGGAATATCACCAGCGACTCCGCTCGGCTGTCATAGAGGGAGACCCCCTAGATGTCGCCAAGGATTGGCAAAACTATTCTTTCCAGCCCAACAATTCCCAAACCCCCGCGAACCCGTTCCCATTTCCACCGCCCTCATCCTACACGCACACTTACTCGAACAGAGCTCTCTCCGGCCAGCGGGCTCCACCGGTCCACTTCCAGAGCATGGGGGAGGGCGGAATGTCCAATAGAATACTAGTGCTCAATACAGCAAATGAAAAAAAACCAGGAGGGGAATGGGAAGGTGGCGTTTTGTCCCAAGAGGAGGGTTTCGCCAGGCGCTCGAATCTCATACAGGCCCTAACAACGACAGACCCCCGATCAGGCCTACAGACATATTACCCACTCGAAAACACGAGCGGAATATATTCGCCCAATGTTGTCGTCTTCAGGGAAGGTTTTGACAAAGATTACGAGATGTGGCGAGACGAGGAGTGGACGACACTGGCGATCGTTTCCGCACCAGCGGTCCGGAGGCCAAAAGTTGATGAATCAGGGCTCCACTATTCCTTCACAGAGGAGAGGCAATTGCAACGCGAAAAGATGAAGAGTGTGCTGAGGATAGCTGCTTTAAATGGCCATACAAATTTAGTTTTGGGGGGGTTCGGCTCCTGCGGACCTGAAGGAAGTGGCGGTGGCCTGTACAAAAATCCTGTCCGGGACGTCTGCCTTCTTTGGAAAGACCTACTTTTCGAAGATGAGGAATTCAAAGGATGGTTTAAGAACGTTGTTTTTGCTTTTGGAAAAGGAGGTGGAAGTTGGATGAAAGAAGACGGCAATAGTATTGAGGAGTTTAAGCAATTTTTCGGCTAGAGTGGCAATTGCGGTGGAGGTCGGTCTGTGCTTAATTTGTGCAACTGTCCCAACTTTTGTTCCCACTGGTGGGGTCTCACTATCCCAGCAGTTCCCTAGTTGTGTTTCCGGAGCTGGCTAGAAAGTTTCGTTGGTGTTTGCGTAGGGTTTATGATCATGAGGGTGTTTTTCCCAACTTTTTTCATTTTTTTCGGAGAGATATCTTTTCTGGGATTTTTTTACCGTATTCATACTTACCTGTTAACCCCCTTCCAAAATACTCACAGGGTTTAGAAGGCCAAAGCCATTGGTGTTGCCGGGTCTTGGCTGGGTCGTTTGTTGGTTTGCTGGTTTCTTTTAAGATTTCCTATTATTATTGACACAATATCTATGATTTCTTTGAGTAACAACTAGAATTTGTACTACGAAGTAACGACATTAAATGTATCTTTATCTTTATCTGCGGTCAAGGTTGCGCTAGCGCTGATGTGTCTACCGGGAGTGCCTCGAAACCGGTTACTCATCCGGGCGTTTTGGGGTCTACAAATACAATTTAACGATCGCTTCACTCTTATAACGTGTGTAAAGATCGGTCACAATTCCATGTGATATCGAGGCTCTAGAATTACCAGTATCAGATCAGGGTCCTCTTGGGGGCTGCGATCAAAAACCGGGATTCCAGAAACTGGAGATGGACTGAGTACGGTATGTCAGCACTATAGGCACACCAGAAACTAGCTAGATACTAAGTTGAAGATACAGGACTTGATAAGTGATGGTGGCGACCATTGTCCTGCCAGTATGAGAACCAGGGAATATCAGTATAATATCTGCGTACATGCGGTGGAATAGTAACTAAAGGTAAACCCAAGTAGCTACATACTACTTCGACGAGCATTGCCCTAATACGTATCCAATTCCCTGCCAAAACAAGATTGATATGGCTCATGACACGAGACATGGCGCATGGTATATTTTCACAAGAATTACCTCACCACAGACGTGCAGGAGTCGGTGGAAAAATCAGTCCCATGATCGTAGACACCGCGGGTAAAAGGAGCCACCCTAAAGTCTTCATTTAAAATATGCCCAAGGCGCGCATATGGGGCCCGAAAAATTGCTCATATATGAGTATCCAGTTGGCGGTTGCCAGGCAGGTTGTCTCAAAGTGTGTTACCTCTAAGGAGGGCTCCCCGAATGAAAACCGAGCTCTCACGTTTCTCGGTTAGACCCCTCCGAGTGAACAGGGACCGTGACGCCACGCTTCCTCCTTCGAACTTCATCAGGTCACTTGTCTGGGTTACAGGTGTCGCAACTGGGTAAAATGACGACTTTTCAGCGGTTTTGCTTCATTAGGGGGCAGGGGCATGCTTCCAGAGTAAAACCCCACGAGTGACCGGCCGTGAGGGACTCTGAGGTAGGTTTGTTGACAAATCTCACTTTACATGGCTCTAATCCAACATAGAACCTCCCTAAGCAGTGTGTAATTGACCAGCAATTTTTCCAGCTACATATAGGGTTCACTAACCGGAACACGGAATACGCGTCGATCGAGAAAGCATGCTACCATAGCGTAGACTCTATTAACAACCCCAAGGAAAATCTGTCACTAGAACCCGTTCAAAAGGGAGAGATTAAGCCCGGAGTACTATACAACAACTTTTGCTTTTTCTTGAAAGAATGAAAGCTTTTAGGCGACGCGCCCGTGAAGCACCGGGGGCAACTAATTTCTTTGTATCACCCGAGATCTTACTAGCAAGACAAAAGTCGTGCCTTAATCATATCCACTCGCCCAACCAGGGCTCTGGAGTCCGGAAAAGTAACCGGAGCGAGCCAAGGCACCGGAAAAACCATTGAGCCTACCGCGCTTTAAAGGGTACTCTCATCCCGTGAGAAATGCTCGAGGTAACCGTACGGTAATGAAGTATGCTCCTCCGAGGTCGTATCTACAGCGAATCTCTCTAAGCCTCTCTTGGTATATTATCTTCACACGACGCTCAGCATCCCCAGCCGACAATTGCTTGAAGACCTATACTTAGCAAAGCTCTCAAAAAAGATATGACAAGATATGAACCAAGAATTTGATTATAATAGTCTGATATATAAAATCCTGCTTTCTCTCCCCTCTTAATCCTAGATATATATCAATATAATTCATATATTACATGCTATAATTAGAGCCAACCAACCATACTGTAACTAAGTCCATATTGGTAAGAGTATACTACTAACTAATATACTAGTTCTCTACTAGAACACAAAAAAAAAAATCCTAACATTCAGTCGCAGTTGCTAGAAACAAAAATACTATTAAAATAATTAGATCTGCTTTGAATTTAATTAGGAAAAAGCAACACATAAGTGATATTTTATTCCTTATCTGCTGATAGTACTACAGCTTTTAATATCAATAAATCTCTCTATATAATAAGAGTCTTAATATAACAGTATTTCAAAAACACCCACATTACAATAATCAATTATAATAAAAGTTTAGTATAATACTAAGAGCTTTTACTAACAAGGATTGATAGAATTCACAGTCAAATAATTTCTGATAATGAAAAAATATTGTTTAAATACAAACCATCTAAATATGATCTTTTAATCTTTTAATATAACTTCCTACAAATAGCTAATATATTTTAGTAGTAATATTCAAGTATTTATAAGATATTTATATAGTAATAAATTTTAAGTCATAAAAATTTTCTTGTTTCACTATCATTAACACCCAACCAACTGTACTATTATATCTATTACTGGAAGTATAATAGTATGATACTAGTAGTATATATTTCAACATCTATAATCTTAAATTCATAACTTGAAAAGAGCCTCTTCTTGCTTCTAAATAAACTATAGTAGTTCTCAGGTCTCTAAGATTGAAATATATGTGAATCTGAATGGGGTGAACAATATACGAGATAGCACTAAATGGAATAATCCTTATAGCAATAAACTATGTTTAGTTTCTGTAAGAAAATCTATCTAGCTTTCAGGTTAACTGTTGAATCCAACCAGATCATTTAAATCACAGAAAGGTACCAAAATATTCAAAAACCTAGCTAATCCTTAAGTTAAGTATATTAAGTATATTCTATAAGATACTATTGTACATTGAAGTTTAAACACAACATTGCAAGGGTTGCAATTACTTGAATAATGGAACTATTTTGGGCATTGATGTTTTACAAAAGCCTTAGCAATCTGTAACACATTTTCTTTGCCCACCCAACACCCCCGCAGGCACCCCTAGTATTTGAAAATAAAGCCTCCGTGAGGCATTCATTATCAAAGGGCGGGTTCAAGGTTCAACTTCTGAAGTGACAAGTAGTAGCCAAATCGGGGACTCGGGGAAACCTTAGCAGAAGCAAAAAACTGCCCACTCCCGCCTGAGCACGCCTCGCACCGCACAGCACTCTAAGGTCATATTATATTTCTCTAACAAATTTAGATCTTTGAAGCCGGAAAAGCTGCTGAATGCGATGAGGAAAGAGGAGGACCGGACCCGATGGGACCACTATTAAGAGTCTGTCTAGTCCTTCGCCCTCTGAGGACCGCAGGTTCGTGGAGTGGCCATGAGCCTGACAAGGTGAAAAATTGTCTTACGGGCCCAGCGCAATGGCCTCAAGTGATGGTAACCGGCCAGGGATTTTCTCCCCACGATTTTAGGGATCAGAAGTGGACTGTGGGGATATACGGAGGACATGAGGCGTCTGGGTGGGCCACTAATCTGGGCAAACTAGAAGCAACTAAGAGAAGAACTGAGGGAGACCACTATCGGGGCTACGCGGATCACGAGATATATACGCCCACAAGTGCGCGCCAGCGGACGCAAAGTCAGAAGCCAAGTTTTGTGCTCTCCCCCGCAGTGGGAATTATGTTAAGGTAAAACTTGATCTTCTGGCACATATATCGTGAGAGCCTACTAGATAGTGCCGGCGAACGAAAATTATAACTACCAGCAGCAAAGAACTACCAGCCAACAGTCTCCCCCGACAAGAACCAATAGCGACTCCCTCAATCACCCTCTCGTCATGATTCCGGGGCAGCGCCCTGGGGCCACACATTCTAAAACATTATAGCATTATCAATATACAGTGGGGCACATCGTGTCTTCCCCGCCCTTTAGCCAAAATTCCGGCTAGGGCCCAAGAGCTATCCTCATGAAGGACGTGATAGATGGAATCCCATCTGACGGGGATTAGGTTGGGTATGATAGTTAGTTTAGGGCATGACTGGTGTAAGCGTCATGACGGTTGTTTGTGGGATCCTTCCCTGTTGTGTGGGTTTTCCCGCTTGTGTGTCGAGTGCGCTATCTACCTGTACTTTAGCTCTGAGCTCCTCGGTAGCTAGCTGAGTGATCCATTATCCCTCCATCACGTCAAACATCAAACTGTGCTTTTCTCCTGTGCACCGCGCAATTCCACTGCACCGACAACTCGCCGTTCGCTTGTGAGTGAGCTGCCATTAGAGCGTTGCCATCAGGACGAACCGCCCCATTAACAACACCAGCTGCATGTTGATAAAACTAGCTCGTACGGAACGTCTTTCGCCGAATACTGCAGACCAAACGCTTGATCAAAAGACAGCCAAGTAAGCATATTTCCCACAATGGCCAAAGGAGGTTGACTCACTAGCTTACCATGTTTATTAGGTTTGATAGACCCAACTCAGCATAAGAAACCAATCAATCCTTTGGCTAGAGGGACCCGGTGATGGATATGATGCCTGAGGGCGGTCGTCTGAGAAACACGTCACTAGCTCAGACGGATGTTCTATATAAGAGCTACCGTAATCGAGTAGAGTAGCCAGAGATCTCTCATACCAAACACTAAAAGGGTGTTTGTCAATCGCGACTGTGATTTCAAGCCATAATTGCGCGATTCGAAACCGCAAGCCCAACCCCTAAAATCACAACTTGAAATCGCCCGCTCCCCCCCTCTCCTTTTGGAGAGCGGTCTGGAAAATGTTGAGGAATATAAGAGAGCGAATGGCAGTGCGGGGTTCGGAGGGTTCGGTGCGGTTCCATATTTCTTGAGGAGGGATGGGTGCCAGTGCCTAACCGGGTAAGAGATTGCGCCCGGGAGAGTGACCCCGTCGCTATCTTCTTCTCACCACCCCCGCTCAGCCAGATTCTCCAGACATCCAAACACCAGCGTCTGTGCCACCCCGCCACCGATCCCGCAAGCATTACTACCCCGGCATTTTTTGCCCTGATACGGTAACCTCCCCAACATTTCGGGGACAGCGAGGGTGGTCATGACCAATCACTCGAACACATATCCCGGTCATCTTAAAAAGCTAGGATAGAAGAGCAGGAAACTTGCACCCTACATGAGGGGGCACCGAATAATCCTGCGCAGCAGCCGTTTCTGTAAGGAGTAGAATTTTCATGCCGACCACCTCCGGCGGATTAAGGCTTTTTTTTTCATTCCATTTGACCACTTCTCCCTCACCCTTGGTTCTCCG